ATGGCGTCTAACCTCGATCTCTTGATTGTTTCATTTGCAGCAGACGGTGCTTCGTCCGAACTTGCTGCGCAGGTGATGATGGATGGAGAGCTATCCCACCTCCCGCCGCTCACATATACCTATCCCCTTTATGGTATTTCCCTCAGTGTACCCGTGTTCAGACATACCGGGCCATTAGTCTCTATTTCGGATCCCCCTCATGCTCGAAAGACATGTCGCAATCAGCCTCAACATGGGACACATACGGCTAGCCTAGGGATTGGCTACGTCGTGAATCGATCTCTGGTTTGTCTTTATGAACACGGCGGTACTGGCCTGGTGCGACGGGACATTGAAAATGTCGACAAGCAGGATGATGGAGCTGCACGTCGCCTATTCCATGCGACGGCTCTACATGCTATGACTGTCCCAGGCAATGCTGATGGGCAGGACAATATTATTCGCGATGGCATGCATGGATTATTTGTGTATCTTTTCATATTTGGTAAAAGTTTCGCAGCTGCTCGGGTGAATTTCTCTGACGAGATAGATTCCAGGAACTTTATTCGATGCATGGCTCAGTCGTACAATGTCTGTTAAAGACCGTGTTCTCTCTGCGTTCCGTGCACGTTTTTTCCTCCACTTATGGCGGAAGCACATCATAAAACTCTCCGTCCGCTTTCCCGATTTGTACTCTGTCACTCGGTCATTCATCTCACCCGCAAGCTTTCACATCTTTAATCGCCTTTGTGATAGCTTGGTGCAGCTCGTAATTGTCTACTCGCGCATCTATCCCGACCAACCTTTCTGTCCATGGCTCTTAGGCACAGAATTTGTCGAGCATTTCTTCGGCATCTCACGTATGATCCTACCGAATTTTACGTACGGCGAATTCTTGAAGATGGTCAAGCACATCGAAGTTCGGCAACGTCTACTCCTTTCGGGGCAGTTTGCCGAGAAGCGAGAGCGTCATTCAGCTGCTGGTTACATCATGGACTATGATGCGACACCGCTTTCTCCGCATGATAAGCAGCTTGCGACGGTCAACCTGACTGACAGTGAGCTTAATGTGCTTGTCACCCTTGCCTTTCGCGAAACCTGCCATATTTGCAAGAATATCCTCCACATACCCATCACGGTGCCCACAGACAATTCTCCTCTTGATCTCAGTCGTCTCGGTGCCCCTCCACCGGCGAAGAATTCCAAAAAGAAATCCAAAATCGAGGCTGATGATTTTGACTCGGACATGGACTCGGATGCGAGCGTAGAGTATAATCTCGACTCTGACTCGGAGGATGAACATGATGAACAGCATGATGGTTCGAGTTTGACTCTGGGGGAGAGTACTGCAGCAGCGGCTCACGACACAGCACGTTACTCGGCACTTTGTGAAGAAACCGAGAATTTACCTCCTGTGACGAGTTTACAACCCATCTCAGTCAAATCTCTCGGTATCACTCTGTCCGTGGATGAATCATCATCTGATGCCGTTGGCGCATTGAAAAGCGAGTTTACCAATGGCAGTGGGGACATATCCATCAAATCAATCCTTGGCTGCCGCAGTCGTCTCACGTCTGGAACCACGACGCGTTCTGAGCGCACAGTCACACTCAACCCCAAATTTGTCGCGGCAGATCAAGAGCGTGAAGAGGCTGTTCATAACGGGAACGAGTTGCCCAAGATGTCAGCTAAAGAAGCTTCCCACCGCCTCCGCATCGGTCAAGAACTTGATGATTCTTTGCAAAAGGTTCAGCCTAGAAAGGACCGTGAACTGCGATGGAAGAACCTTGCACAAAGTCTTCAAAAATCAATTAATGCGGGAGGTAAGTCTCATGGTCTCGTGTCACTTCACAGTCTCTCACTCTACCATTCAGACCTACCGAACCTATCTGCTAAGAATGTCAATGATTTATTCCCTCTGAAGTTGGGCAATTTCGTCATCATACGAACATCACAGCGCTTGTATGTCGGCGAGATACTCGACATGTACAAGAAGGGTGCAAATGGGCGTTATGGATCAATTACCATGATAGGAAATGCGTCTTCACTCCAAGCATTATCTCTTCGTGTTTATTTGCCTCTTGAAATGGTGCGCTTATATTGATTGGGTTTTAATTTTCGTGACTGACATGTACTTCCGAGTAGAGAACAAATGATGTCGATGACGATGACGAGCCAGATGCTCCTGTGTTCTCATGTTCTTCGGGTTCGGCTCACCTTCATTCGTATGCGCCAATTGATACATTTATGTATCACCTCGGACCAAGGGCGCTCGTTCCGATTGGCGACCAAAGCCATGCCAAGTCTCGAATGGTCCTTAATGCAGCTGCAGAAGCTCATTGGAACACCTTCAATCGAAAATCAGTATCACAGAAGCTTCCAAAGCTCTTGATAGTTGTTCCTGGAGGGAAAAGGGCAAAGTAGTTGGTAGGTAGCGAGCTGGGCTTTCACAACGCCTGGAAACGCGTCATGTTGCCTTTTTTGGTACGCGTCTGATAGATCACGTGACTCAATCCTTGTCCGACATTGCGTATTTTAGAGTTCAAATATTGCGTATTTCAGACCGAAATTTGGCCTTTTTCGCGGACAAACCCATAGGGGAGCTTCACGGGTCCTGGAACACGTACCTGAGTCGCGCAATGGGATTAGGCCTTGATACCTCAAGCTGGCAGTCCCATGATGAATCCGCTAGAATTTTGCCGTCATCTAGATTAAGCTTTTAGTCTGGCAGATCGCTTACCTGGTTTATCAGTCCTCTAGCTCAAGGGTTTTCATGTTTCCAAAAGATCGAGGCACAGACGGAGGAAATGCTTGCAGCTGCGGTAATAGACAACAGAGGCAAACTTGTAGGCTCGGAGGCCTTGGACGCAGCACGCTGCATAAATAAGGCTTTCTCCTCTGGTACGACTGGAAATCACGAGAGCAGGATCAGAGTTGAAAGAGCTGTGAATCGTGGTTCCAGGATGCGGTGGTTCAAACGCTTCGGACAAGTAAAAAACCTGCAGGATGTTGCACAGTTGTTGGTCCAAGGCCCTGGGAAAAGAAATTCGGGACGATGCTGACGTCACCACGTGGTCGCTTGCAGGCCCGACTCCGCATTCATGAACTTTCTTTCAACCACTTTGTGTACGGTGGTCTACTAGTGATTTCCGGATCGATGTGCATCCTCTCACAACCAATATAGTAAGGAATTCCAATGCGCCAGGATCGCTGTTGTCCTCTCGGACGCCTTTCGATGACAAAAAATTGGTTTCCAGATACGGATGGTTTCTAGATACGAACCAGCCCGAGAACATCGGTCTCGAAAGCATTTGAAGCTCTGAGTATCTGTGTTCACACCGTCCAGGAGGGAGAATCAGTGTTGTGATTAGTATGCTTCGTTTGTGTTCGTCTGATCACCTCCGGTATAGGATTTTCTCCGCACGCCCATCATCGTCTCCCTCACAGCGTATCCTATCCTTGCCAGGGAGTATGTATTCACATCAACGGCGGATCGTACTGCCCCAGGCGCAGATGCGGTGCATCCAAGTCCCATCAATCATCAGCCCGGTATGCACGTCACATCTGAGAATAGGTGCCTCACCTTTGTTATCCCTCATCAGAATACTTATCACTTAACGCACATCTATGCAACGAACCGACCATTCACCATGTCGACAACCTCTTCCGGCCTCCGCAGTGAACGAACTGTCCTGGCGTTTATTGCTTGATATAACTTTGCTGCATTGTCGCCAGGTAGCCTTTTCGATCAGAGCTGGCTCGCTGAGGATAGAAATGGGTATGTTACCTATTTTTGGTCGGTTCCCCCACTCCATCTCGCGGATCTTACAGTTGACCATGGAACCCGGAACTTTCTTCATCAGCGACGGCGGTTCATATCCCCCTGAACGAACAAAGACTTAGCTGTGGCCTGCCCACTGGGTAAAACACTTAACAAACGTGCGTTTACATCGGAGCATACTATTTCTTTAACTTGATCGAGAGCAGCGTGATGGATTCCGACCCATGGCCCTTGTTCATCATCACTCTAAGCATTAATGAAGGCCTGAACGGAAGGTTCTCGACCAGCTATGTACATTGCGCCGCGACCATCGATCAGTACACGCTCTTGGTCCATCAGTCAGGTGGGTGAGATACACGGAACGACCATTCCTTCAGATCAGGTGCTGCCTCACCGAAGTCTCTGTTCAAAGGTGCTAGTTGGATCTACATCTACACCGTTCTCATATCACGCCACCATCTCGGTAGTATGTATTCCGACGCAAGGATTTGAATCAATAGATATGATATATCTATATCCGACATTCGCTCCTCATTCTTTCTGCAGACCTTGGCATCTTGTTGCTTGGTCCAGAATTCGGTTGACGTCGACGTACCGCGATGAAAGGTCAAGCCGGTTCAAATTATCATAAACCGACGATCACTGAAACGGGGACGACCTCAAAGTATCTCAAAGTACCGGCGACAGAAATTGTGTGTTACCCACGAAACACTGGCTCGCGGCGGATGTATTGAGAACGGCGCCCAGTCCCGACCATACCCCTTTCCTCTACGCGATCATCCACAGTGAAGAAGCGCGCCAAAAAACGGGCCTCGTGCACTGACCACACCGGAATCAGAATCACAGTTCTCGTTCGGACAAGCAGCTCATGATGTTATCCCAACAGATCGAACCCGCGCATGGATGGTAACAGGTTGCGAGGAGATCGTCCTCGACCCGCGACGAAACGTTCTATGGTCTGCGCATACGAACACTGTGCCAAACCAGTTACTACAAAGACCATGGAAGGCCACGAGGGTTTCGTGCACGACGATGTCGGGTTCGAGTTTATTATGATGTTATCAGCATCCGCTAAGGCCAAGCGAATCGCACACGACGTACCAGCGTACTCGATTCATAATGCACGGGCAACAAAACATACTGCAGGCATCAAGATTCAAAAACAGGATGCAACGAAAAGATTGCGGAATCGACGCGTCACTCGAGGAACGAGAGTTAAAAGATTATTCAGCATGCAGCATGCATTGGCCGGGAGTCGAACCCAGATCTAGGCCATCTTAAACTGGGAAGACCCAATGATAACCGTTACACTACCAATGCCCATAATCGCCTTCTCCACTAGACCTCCATCAGTCTTCTCCAGTCGCATGACGCGAAATTGGTAATCAGGTGCCATCGATACGTATCTGCGTAGACCAAGAACTCCGTCCTCTCAGTATGTAGACGTGCGGTGACTCAAGATGCCTCAAAAACGAATTCAGAGGGCGAGGCAGACAGAGAGGGCTTACAGAGATGATTGTGTTGGCTGTGTGCGGTTCTTCTACGGGACGACGCCTGGCTCGTGGTCATCTAACGGAGCCAAGACACGGAGTATTGGTATAATCGTCCTCCAAACCATAGGCCGTCTGTGAGAGAGCTGTAGGGCTGCGGTAGGGACCCCTTCTCGCCTCGGGAGAGCAAAGCTGTAGCGTGGGACTACAATCGCCAAGAGGCTCGTTAGTACCGCTACGAATGAGATGTATGCGTGCATCTCACGAGGTTTAAGTTTCGCGCGCCGTTACACGCCTACGTGCTAGCGTTCGGGAACATCTACCATGAATGAGGTCATACTGTCAAAAAAGCGAAATGTGACATTTTTGACTGTTCGGAACCTGGGGCACGATCGACAAGAGCATGAAGAGCTACAAAGGGTTAAATCAAAGTGATAAGCCGGGGATATGGATATAAGATGCATCATCGTCAGGATATAGCAGAATTGAGGACGCAACGAATAACAGATCTTGACCAAAAAGTACAGCGGTACCACACTGGAGTGTAGAATAGCAGCGTTCTCTAGGCCCAGGTTATGATAGCGTAACGTCTGGAATGGAGACTAAGCATCAGTGATTCATAAGGAAGAGTTCGGAGACCCCGAAAGTCGTATACATGAGCAGGTCGAAACGCGTCGGAGCCAGGCGATGCGTGAGGTCATCGGATAGTAGTGCCACAAGTTCTTGGAACACGAGCTGAGTTGTAGGTAGATGACGCCGGGGGTTTGATATTGTCGATAAAGTCTTGCCTGACGAAATAGAATTCTTGTTGAGCTTGCGTTCCGAGCAAAAGAAGCGGAGGATGTATATCCAAGGGTCTTTGATAGCGATAACGAGTCGACGGTATGGGTTTCTTATGATAGTACAGTGACGCGTGGACTAGAGCTTGTATCGGAGCACTACTGAGCACAGGGATATGGATAGAAAACGTGTAAGGCGTACCAGAATCGAGAATCGGACCCGCAGACACGCGGGCCTGGAACGACACGCTCATGTGTCCGACTACGTCGCCATTTACTGATGACCACTCTGAAATCTCCCGCTTTAATGATCCCGCAATGTTCTGGCGACGTCCTGGTCAGGGCTTCGGTATTCTGAAAATCAGATCTGAAAGGGGCATCCCAAGCTGAGATGAGATACGGTCAAGACCTAATGGTAGCCTCAGCCAGGATTCGTTAGAGCCAGATGAGGGAAGGGTTTCAATGACGTACTGCTCCGCATCATGTCGCCAAACCAAAACTGGTGTACACAGCTTCATTAGCCCATGAGTGCCACAACCGACAGTCCATTCGATGCGACAGATGAATCGGACGCGTCACTGGCATGCCTGACAGTCGCATAACTTCCAAGGACTTGGTCCATCTTCTATGGGTCCGCAAGGAGAGTGGCACTTCTTCGGTACGGATATAGGGAGAGCAAGAATCGACTAGCCGACGGTACAGATGGAGAAAGAGACAGCGAATCAAGGAGAACGATTCGAGGAGATGGACGACGGGGCGGAGGAAAGCAGCCGAGGTTTTTGGACAACATCGACAAATACAACGGACCGTTCTCTTCCACGCCGAGAACCCTGAGTCTTCCCACCGGGCGGCCCTGGCACCATGCATGCGACCTTCCTGCTCCCTCCGCCCACACCCAACCTCTCTGCGAGTTCAGAATAACCGATCTACGTTCTGAGTTTACGTGATGACGCATTGGGCCAGTGAGCGTTGCAGTATCCAAAAGCCTACACCCAGCTACACCCTCGTCACCTAGTCAAACCGATGACAACCACTCACTCGGACTTGCGTCCTTTGCTAGGTAAGGATAACTTATAGACAAGTCGCGGCTCAGCTAATTGTGGCTAGAGCATACAGGACCTGACGCAGGATGAATCGAATCGCGACACAGGTGCTCTCAGCCGTACGAATTCTCTAATGGTAAGTACAGCAGCCATCTTCGAATGGTCAACTCCGCCAGGGGAATCATCTGATCCATGGTTGTGTTTGGAAGCGCCTCACAGGAATTGCACAACTTGTGGCATTCAGAACGTGTACGTCACTTACAACTTAGCCGCTACAACCCGATTTCATCGCGGTCCTGCTCGCCCCCGGCTTTATCATTACATGTGCCACCCACCTACTCAACTACCTTAGCCGTATTAATCGAACGAGGAAGGTTTTACCGCGGCACGGTGCTTCGTCGAGACTCGAAGTATACCCAACTGATTTGCGAGCCCGTATGCATCGCGGTGTTTCGGGAGATCATCGATAAGGAAAGGTTCCAACCTAGACGTCCCAAAGAATACTGTAAAGTCACCTTCTAATCATGCATCACGCACAGTCGCCCGCCGAATCTAATACGACATATGTCTTCCATCTTCCCCCCCGCAGATATTGACGTCGATTGCTTGGATCATACGGGAGTAGCATTTCATGCAAAAGGAGCAAATCACCAATTCCCTCAGAACTCATCCCTCTCCAATTCGTACGTCATCTCCTCATTCTCCGACCGCGTTCCACCCTTGTTCATAAGCAAGTCATATCCAGAACACCCCCCTAAACTTCTCTCCTAGACTCCAGAGACCCATCCCCTCAACAAGATTCAAGAAATGTAAGTCCCCGCCCCACCACCCCCGTTCCTCGTCCCCGACCCAATGCCCACTCAGATGAACCCCTCCATCACCATCTTCCTCGCGACCCTCGCCGCCGCCGCCGTAGCAGCAAACGCGGTCCCGCCTCAAGTCGGCCCCGTCGACTTCCAAGATACTATCTGCTTGAAGGCCTGCTTTCCGCAGAAGCCTCTTTGCCCCGCCGGGTACGACGCAAGACGGTTTGGGTGTTGGGATTGCTGCAAGGATGTTGCTTTGCCGTGAACGCAGACGTTGTCGAGTAGAAGGGGGCTTGGTGAATGGGTTAGGGGCTTGGTTGATGTCTTGTGGGAGATGATGATGAGGCGGTGTAGAGGACTTTTGATACGGTTTTTTCTGTGCGCGTTGGACGGTTTGTTGGATGGAAGTTCTTGGATGTCTATCAATGAATACTTTTCGTGAATCAGTCGCCGCGTGTTTTGAAGGATGGCCACCCCACGCGAAGCACTGCAACAGCGAGAGAGAAACTGCACGATCCAGGAGAGACAGCAAGGTTGAATGATCCGGTATCACATACGCATCTAGCCAAAAGCCTAGATGACATGACCTGGATGACGTGAAATCGTGAGCTGAACTCGTAAACGGGTGCCGCGCAGAAGCTAAGCCACATCATACTGAACTTTGGTAATGCGTTGACACCATCCCAGGGCCTTCGCGACTTCCGAACGTACCCTCCTTAACGTTCCTCGCCGTACTCCTTGCTCTCATCACTCCGTCCAGCGAACACGAAAACCGCCGTTACCGCGCCGGAGCTAGGTCACTGTATGTAGATGGACAAGAGAACTTCCCACAGCGGAAGTTACGTTTCCATACCTAGTCACTAGAGTATAGAACACCTCTCAACGAGGTTAGATGTCAGACCTTCGGAAGGCCAGTAGCCAATCCTAAGTCTGCGCGGCCTCTGTGCCCGTCAGCGTAACTCATGCCAATTAAAAGCGGTGAGCCATGAGCCTACTACTGTTTCGGCTAATGAAAAACGACCATGATTCGACTCGGATAAGGTCGATATAGGAGCGAATAGATGGTGTCTCACAAGTAGTAGGGATGCCTTCGGGAGCCCGTCAAAATCGCGGTTTCCTACATTGATTGACCTATAATGGCGATACTACACACTCGACATCCTATTAAGAATTTCCGATGGAATGAGTCTGTTGTGGATCAATTACAGTGGTGTTCTCAGCACTAATAGACACCCATTGAAGAATTTCCACCTAAACGTCCCAAGGAATACTGTAAAGACACCTCTTAATCATACATCACGCACAGTCGCCCGCCGAATCTAATACGACATATGTCTTCCATCTCCCCCCCGCAGATATTGACCTTGATTGCTTCGCTCATACGGGAGTAGCATTTCATATAAAATGTCCAAGCAATCCAACACTCATCCTCTCAGAACTGGTCCCTCTCCTATTCGCACGTCATCTCCTCATTCTCCGACCGTGTTCCACGCTTGTTCACACGCAGCTCCTATCCAGAAGACCCCTCTATACATCGCTCCCAAACTCCAGATACGCAACCTGAGAACCTCTTAACAAGACTCAAGAAACGTAAGTCCCCGCCCCACTACCCCCGTTCCTCGTCCCCGACCCACTGCACACTCAGATGAACACCTCCATCGCCCTCTTCCTCGCGACCCTCCTCGCCGCCGTAGCAGCAAACGCGGTCCCGACTCAAGCTCAAGTGGGCCGCGTCGACTTCCAGAGTATCTGCTTGAGGGCCTGCTTTCCGGAGAAGCCTCATTGCCCCGACGGGTGGGACGCAAAACGGCTTGGGACGTGTTGGACGTGCTGCAAGGATGTTGGCTTTGCGGTGAACGCGGACCTTGTCGAGCAGAAGGCGGCTTGGTCAATGGGTTAGGGGCTTGGTTGATATCTTGTGGGAGATGGTGATGAAGCGGTGTAAAGGAGTCAGGACTTTTGATACATACGGTTTCTCTGCGTGCCTTGGGTGACGTTTTGTTGGATTCACATTCTCGGATGTCTATGAATAAAACACTTCGTAAATCAGTCGCTGCACGTTTTCCACCATCAGGCATTTCATACGTACCCAGCCACACGCCCAGTGGACATAGCCTGCATGACGTGAAATCGTGAATTGAACTTGTAATCGGGTGCCGCACGGAAGCTACGCCATACCGTGACCGAACTATGGTGATCGCG